GGTACTCACTGTGAATCTAAAGCAGTGCTATTAATTTTGATTCTTCCTGTAGAAAGTGCCTATCAGCACTACATTTTTAATCAGTATTAAACACAGAGCTTGCTTGTCAGTGAGAGAGATCAATAAGGTCTACATTTATCAGTTAAGAGGATTGCTCCCATGACATAGTATTTGAGAATCCCTAGTCACAAATGTTCATTTATTTGTGGAGGATACTTTTACAAAAAAAGTAATTACTCCAGTAAACACTAATGAGGAGTTTGTATATATTGAAAGTCAGAAGAACATTTCCCAGGGGTAGGACGGCTATTCTAAGGTCTAAGGGTTAATCTAAAACACAATGCTTTTAGACCTTGCTTCCTGATATCTGTAAGGGTTTAACATTTATTGACCATGCTTTCTCCTTATCCTCAAATCACCACCCCTCACCCTAGCAGAGAGAAATTAACTAGTATTCAATAATGAAAAGGTTAGGTTAAAAAACCCCTTGAGCTTTTAAGGTTATACTGTAATCCCCCCTCACCAACAGGTGTGTGCCTTCCAAAAGTGTATGTGCTAGTGTAAATAACAAATTGGCACTTTCAACAGCAGTGTGCTTAAACTCTCATGACAATTTCATAATGGGACAGTATCATAACATACAAACAGCAACTCCTTGTTTCTGTAAGACCTATACTACTTCATGTGCTAATAGTCCAGTAAAGTTTCAGCATTGGACTTTTTCACAATCCCTTGAAAATTAAAATGGGGAGCCTGTTGACTTCAAGATTTGTCAGAAGAAAAAGAAATAGTTTGGTAGGTGTATGGGGAGGTAAACATTTAAGTGCATGTGGTGTTAAATGGAACAGGCCATACAATTTTTCAGGTAGAACTGGATACACTTGCCCTTGAATCTAATGGTTGTTCATAATAGGTGCTATCTTCTTGATTTTATTTATTCTAAAATATTTCCATGCTGCCTTTAAGCCAGTAGGCTCTCAAGGCAGTGTACAATACAACATTTAAAAACTTGTGTAACCATGATTTTTAAAAAGCAGTAGGACATACATGAGAATGAGGGATCATCTCTTTTTAATAGTCAGTGAAAGAAAACTGAGCAAAACCAAAAAAAAAAAAAAAGTTTTCACTGATTACTGGAAAGTGAACAGTGCCAGAAATAGTCAGATTCCACAAGACTTCCACAAATAGATGCTGCCACAGAAATGGTTCCATGTCTCGTTCCCACCAATATACCCTAATTTAGTGGTGGGTCATAGTGAGGGCATGATAAAATACTGTAAGTGAGCTTATGTGAAGCTAAGTGGTGCTTAAGATACTGCATTATCAATTCACATGCACAGGGCAGAATGTCTTGTAAAATGTTTCTTTTCTTTTTTCCCCAACAAGCAGCCAAACCTTACTGTATCCTTGTGTTTGCATTAAAAGATTGTTTTTTATTGGAGCTAATGGAATTTATACATAGTTGGTTTCTTGAGTGTCTGCTACACTCGACTGGAATGATTGACACCACGAGCCACAAAGAAATTGTGCCAGCCCTTCCTTCAGTTCAGGTGTCTTTTCCTCGTCTAGAGTTACGTAGCTCTACAGCTGCTGCTCTGCCACTCGTGGAGAGACTGTGGGTCAGGTCCCTCATCTAATGTTGTGTGTACAAAACCTTGTTTTGTTGTTTCCTTACAGCATTCATATGGTGTCCTTTAGTTGTATTCATATGACATTTTACAAAATAATATAGTTAAATGCAAGTATAAAAAAGCTAAAAGCTACAAGTTTGAGTAGGCATAAAACAATCTGTATGAATAAAACTGCGTTTTGAAAAAACAGGAAAATTAAGTTTAGTTGCCAGGTTTCATAACACAGAGGAGATCTATATATAGGCAATCCTAAGTTTCCCCTGCTTTTAAAAGGTAGAAACTAGGAGAAGCATGCCTGAATGTGCATCTGATTTGAATATTGCTTCCTATGCGATACACTTGCTTGCCCACACACTGATGAATATTTGAACTGGACTTAAAATGGGGTCTGTTTGGTTCCCTTTCATCCTTTCTTACTTTACTTTGGCAAGTGTTTGTAAGACTTCATGGTAAGGAGACCAGTTGAGAAGCCTGTGGTTAGCAATGATGTGTTCCTGTCGGTATGTTTTATTCTATAGTTGTGAAGTATGAATATCAATATGCTTGCCTTGTATATGTACAGAACCTCTATGCTAAGGCGCAAGCAGTTTATCCTTGATTAGAGACCTTGTTCCTTAAAGTGGATAAAGTGAAGCATGGGACTTCTAAGGTAACGTAAAGTGGCAAGAGGAGGGAACATGGCAGAACTAGGAGAAGGTGATAGAAGCAGCCATCCAGCAGCATATGTGTAACAGAAAATACACTTCTAGGGCAAGACAGTAACCCCATTGCAAGAGAAACGGGAGAGAGGACAAAGTACAAAGCAACGGTAGATTTTGATTGTGCTTTGGGGCTGCTTCACCCATGCACACTATTCAGTTATAAGTTAATTGCCCAATATGGCATTTTTATACCATCCCTTTTTAAGCTGAACACAATGATTTTTAATGAGCATGGCCACACATTCAACCTTAGAGTAATCAAGTATAGTGAAATCTCATGCAGCAAACATGTATGAACCAAACTGTTGCTTTCTGGTACCCTCCTGCTATGCTCCAGCCAGCATGGCTAGGGATTTTAATCCAAAACATCTGGAGGATGCCAGCTTGCCAATCCCTGATCTAGACTTTCCATTTTTTTTCCTAAAGAATTGCCAGTACCCTTATGAAAAATCTCAGTTATACCACTCTTCCAGCAGTAAAAATTTGCTTCCTTCATATAATCTTCCCTTTCCATACTATTATCACCATACACAACAAGCTGTAAAATTCTGTGCATGTTTATTTAGGAAATAAGACCCACTGTTGTCAGATGGCCTTTATGTGTTGGTCAGCCGCCTGTTTACTTCTTTTTACTCATAAGCGTATGAGAAAAGTAATACCAGATCAGACCAAACCCTGTCTAGTTCAGCATTCTGTTTCCACAGTGGCCAACCAGATGCCTGTGGGAAGCCCATAAACGGGGGGAAACCTGAACATCTGGTTCTGTGAATGGACCATATTTCATTCAGATAATGAGAATGCTGGGTCGCCCAGGCAAAAGAAAAACACAGAAGAGTAGATCAGACTCATCTTCAATGAAGCATGAAGATGGAAATATCTCTTTAATAACTGGGTAACTCATGAATCTCAGACCAATGTCATACTCGTGCAAGCTTCTTGTATAATGTAACTTGTGTCCCCTAATTTATTGGTAGTAGGATAAATTAGATGATTAGCTCACACATACATGTGAATAGGCTATGGAATAGATTAAAAAATAGAGCAATGTGGGTAAAAATAGAAATTAGTTTGAAAACAATGTTTTGGCCTTAGGCCTTTGTTACAGAACTTTCTCATTTTCCATTACCTGTTCTAAACATACACACACAGGGACACACACACAGACAAACTCTGTAAGCAAAATGTTGCCTCTCATTTGCTTTTTTCAGTAGGTTGGTTAAGGGAGAACCTGGCAGCTTGCATGCATTTCTGTACATCCCCTTCCCTATTCTTCCTATTATCATTTTCAAAAAGCATAAATCATGCCAGGATGTGACTAAGCATGTCATTACCAGCAATAGTAATTGGCTTCCTCAAGGCTCTTTCTGGAGCAACCTCTGGTTTAATATGTTTAAGTTCTGAGTAAAAGACTGAATGCAAACCTGTAGAACATCGCTTTCTTGAAGAAATTATCATTTTAGACCCTACAGTTGCACTTTATGCTATTTTAAAGCAAAGCATGATAGAGAATAGGTTGTCTGAGGCTATACATAGCAACCTGATTTGAACAGTGTGATAACCCATCATGGGTAACAAGCCACAGTCATCTGAACCCAGACCACTACCTGCAGAATAGCTTATTTCCATCAAACAAGTTCTCTGAGAACCCATGGCCAGTTCTCGGGCATGTTTTACCTCAAGTGGGTGGCTGCATTGTTTGAACCTGGGTAACGAATCCCACTGCCAGTGAAGGGAAGCAGCCGGTGAGGCACAGGTCAAGAATGGCAAAGCAAATATCCTTGCTATGCTTGGCAGTCTCATCTATTCTACTGCCAGTGCTGCTAGTCACTGGTTGGTCAAGCCATTTTTTACATTTTTTTTTCCTAGATGGACTTACGAACTTCTAAAGGTCCAAAATAGGAAGCCTTGTCTGGGTAATATCTTGGGGCAGGGAGGTACCTGCTGTCAAAGTGCAGCAGGTGCCAGCTCTGGACATATATTCGTCATAGAAGGTGTTGGAAGGTGGACCACTGAGGGAAAGCGATGCCACAAGTGATCTTTACTTGTGAGAGGTGGTAGGCAATTCCCCCCTTTTACAGCAAGATCCTCAGGGTTTCAAGTGTCCCCACACATACATTCCTGTGTGTCCAACTTTTCCACCCATTCCCAAGACTCTAGGTGTCTTCAATTAGGGGCAGAGGAACCAGTGGGGTTCCATATGCCATTTTGAGCATTCTGGAGGAGCTGCCACTGCAGAGATCATGGAACGTAATCTAAAAATAAATAAATAAAATGGGAGGAAGCCTGAGTTCTGAGGTTCATGACAGAGTGGCTTTGAACCTGGTCTTAGTTCTCTCCGTTACACCATAGCAGATATATTCTGCTAAAATGGCATGAGATTTTTTCCTCGGATGTCATAGCAAGAATCCCTGGATCAGCTTTTAAACTGATGTCTTCCCTGTTATTGAATGTAATTCCATGTCACTGCCTGGAAGGGACACACTCTAGGTCCTGTGATACCTTAATTCTAATAGCACAAAACTGGCCTCTCATTAGAATGCCTTTCTTTCATACGTTCATCCATGACTGGTGAAAGATACACAGCACTAACCCTACAAAAAGCTAATGTGAATAAAAGGGAATACTTTGAGAGCAAAATGATACAAAATGCTTGTGGATTGTTTTATAGGGAAGGATGTTCCAGATGATGTCTTTGGACTTCGTGGGCAAATACAACATAAGCTGAGCTTCCTCCAAAAAAAATGTGCCAAAAGATGTGAAGCTTGTGCTTATTGGCCATTCCGTTGGTTGCTATATTATCCTTGAAATTATGAAGTACGCACCAGGACTGGAGGTATGTCAAAGCCACCTAAACATGCTGAACTCTTCTCTACCCCCAGCCTGTGTATTTTTCTAGCAATAATTTTAGTTTGTTCAAGGTGGTTGGGAGACCTTTGGGTTTATTTAATGGTTTTGCCATGCCTTTGTTGATATTTGTTGCACCTAAAATCTGATGAATATGTGGGATATAAATCTAAAAACAAATACCACGAGAGTTCCTGCTGGCGCTGAGACTGAGAGCTGATTCACACTTTACTTTTTGAACTCAGGAGCCCAAATGGTAGCGTACAGGTGCCTCTAGAGAAGCACGCATTTGTTTAAATGGCCAGTTTCCCTGCAATAAATGTAAACAAGGGGCGGGGGGCTGGTCCTTTGCTGATTGCTGACTATGTGTTTAGCAGAGGGAAGCCTGGCTATTTAAATGGTTGCCCCATTCAAAAGCAACCATACTTTATTCTGCCATTGAGTACAGCAAACCTTGCATCAGCACTAAGACATGAAGGCTGCCTCCGAGAGGTGTCACTTCTTCATGCTTACCTCATGAACAATCTGTATCCACGGCGACCCAAAAACCCACAAGAGGAAGTACAGTGGGAGTGGGCAAAGGGGTTCCTAATTATTGCAACGGTCGTATGTTTCTCTCAGAAAACAAGAGGTGCCTGGAGAGCATTCCCTCCTAGGAGCACGTGTTTGCTCTTTTTTCTGTCTGAGTCTGAAAACTCCAAGGGCAGCAGATGGAGGATGTCCCTGCTCAGTTTCTGACCTTCAGGTCAGTTCCTAATACAAAAAGTTTAGGTTCTGTTATCACCACTTCCTCACTCTCCTTCGGGCCTCCCAGCCCCACAGCAAGCCTGCCTGCTTGAAGAAAGGAGTTCCTTAATTTTTCTGTTGCATTGGCCAGCAGTTTCCAGTCATACCCAGGATCTCGTGCTGTCTTTTTCTGTAGTCGCTCCCATAGGATGAGCTGAAAGTGCCTCCCCACTCAGCTGACTGTGCTTTTGATGCAGACTGTTCTTCCTGCATGCAGATTGGATCAGTGGATGGGGTAAAACGGGTGGTTACAGTAATATTTAAGTTGCTGCATGCACCCCGCAGCAGATGCTAGTTAGTATACCTAGTCAGGCTAGAGTCCAGCAAGAGAATGATGCTGGCAGAAAGGGGGGAGCACCTTTACTAAAATAATCTGGACACTTGGTTAGCCCCAACCCACTGATCTTCTTATGCAACAGCTACATAAGGATTTCCTCGTATGCACTTGCCAAACAGTGACACTGGGTTGAAAGCAGGATGGAAGAGAGAGTAAATGGAGAAGATAGGACTTGAATTGTTGTCCACTCAAATAAAGATCATGCATTTCATGCTGTTTATACCATAAGCCAAAACAAATGGTGTTAGATTTTCCTTTCTCTTAACTTCACCAGATATCTACTTACCAGTAAGGTTACTAGCTTGCAATGTCAAATAAGCATTTAGTCAGATAAGTATGTGCATACGGAGGGACTCGTGCGTGCGTACGTGTGTGTGTGTGTGTGTGTGTGTGTGAGTTACAGTGTTTCTATCCTTTAAAAACAACAACAACAACACTGGCACTACTAATTCCGAAAAAGCATTCTAGCATTCCCCAGCCTGTCTGCCCGGCACAAGGATTAACTCTTTAGTTGTAGTTGAGCTTTCAAGCTGGACCAACCATCCTTCTCATAGGAATGATACAGTAGTTGTTCCAGCTTGAAAGCTCAGTTACCACAAAAGAGTTAATCATTGCAGGTATGGGATGCTAAATTTCTTTTTATGAATTTGTTGCTTAGTTCCAGTTAATAGCATTTATATTTTATCTTGAAAAATGAAGTAATCCAGAAAATAAGACTTTTCCTTTGGTCAGTTTGTTTTTCTGAAATAGTTACCTGGTTTCAATTATATTTGAATTGTTGAGTTCCCTCCCTCCCTCTCTCCCTCCCTCCCTCCCTCTTTTTTTCTTCACCTGGCCCCATGGATGTTGCTGGCAGAGTAATGATTTGTCAGTGTGTTGAAACTCTAGGTATGTTTAGGACACATTGAGAAAACACTGCGTGCTTGAAGTTAACTTATGACACGCTGCATTTAAGATGTGTTCAACAATAGAAAATATTTGTGTAAGCCAGACTGTTGTGCAACTTCTGTCCCTTTGCCAAAAATAAGTTAACTGTTACGTTTTATGACATATGAAGTGTGATAATAAGAAACTTGTGTTTCCATCTCTTCTCTTATTTTTACTGGAATATTTTGTTCCCAGTAGAGTTCAAGCACATATGTGTATTTTAGTAGCAGGATCATTTGTGTGTTTGTGAGTCCTTTCACTATACCCTTTTATTTTAGAATTCTGATTTTTAGTTTGGTCTTAAATGCTCTGTTTTTAAAAGGGTTTTCAGTATTATGTTTTCTTGTTCTGAAGTGGAACTTACTTGCTGTATTTATTATTTTAGTAGCTCTCTAGGTTTTTCTGCTCCCTGAGCACCCATTGAAAATTTTATTTAAGGGCATTTTTTAAAAAGTTGAAATTCAGAATTATCTTTCAGTGAGCTATATGGAAGAAAACAATTCGTTGAGTCTCAGAGTCTAACGCACACTCTGAGCAAATGTCTCAACTGTATTGTGAGGTGTGATCACACCAGTGTGTCTGCCTCCCTCAACTTACCTGATATCCACCCATGTTGAGTAGTGTACCTGTACACTATGAGGATGTATGAGTGTAGATATCATCCTGCGAAATGCCCGGAAGTGAGATCTCTGTACTACAGTTGTGCACTGTACAGTTTACATATGCTGGCATCTGTATTCATACAAACATAACATTCAATATGTGGGTATCATAAGCACTAACTATAATATCAAAATGTTTTATACAACAGTCAAGTCATAATCGTACTTCTTCAGGAGAATGAGTAAGAAGGAAAGGAAAAAAAGTAGGTGATGTCTCATAAGTTCAATCCTATCTATGTTGAAACAGGAAAAAGGTCCTACAGCACCCAGCATCCATGAAATTTTAAGACTTTTTCTGTTTGCATAGGATTGTACTGTAGGTGTCTAAACTTCCAAGCAGTGTTTCAGTTTAGGATTCATTGAGGCTTTCCATGTCAATGTCAATGGAAGACTTTTTTCCATCTTATAGACATTATCTGATCCGATCTTATAAATATTTACTCAAAAGTAAAATTCATTTTGTCCAACAGCATGCCCTTCCAAATAAATGCATAGCCTCTAATCTATGTTTAATTTGGATTAAAAGCCAGATTAAAATATTAGGAACTATTCAGAATAGTGACAGGAAAGTTGTTACTTAATATCAGATGTAAATATTTAACAAAAACAAAGAACAAAAAATCTTTAGTGTAGAATTGCTGGAAGTCCAAAGGACCAGATAATAAAAGAATGCTGCTGCTAGCTTTATGTGAGGGCTCTTTCCCTTAGATTCCTAAGTAGTGCTGCTATTCAGATAGAAGAAATAAGCAGAAGTTTATTATTACACTGTTGTAAACCTACAAGAGAGCATTTGCTATATGGTGGTATAGAAGTGAAATAATAAGTGGCATGAAGCTTTCCCTATTCTGATATGTGGCCCCATGTAAGTGATATTTATTTGTTTTACATTTTGCATTCATATCCCACCTCTATTTCTCTTGTGAGGCAACTTATATGATCCTTCTCTGTTTCCTCTCCATTGCATCCTTTCAATGACTCTGTGCAGTAGATTAGGCTGCGAGTCGGTGACTGGCCCAAAGTCACCCAATGAGCTTCAGTCTGAGTGGGGACCTGAACTCAGATTTCCCAGAATCCAGCATTCTACCTCTGGCACTATTACAAGTATAATACAATGCAATAATAGCAATACAATGATACAATAATATATTCCAAACAAGGAATTAATCTCATTGTTTGAGCATGTGATGCTCTTGAGACAAGGTGCAATGCTTAAGAGCTGAAATGGATAAATCCCACCTGAAATGAACAGAGAACATTTTCAGTATTTTGAGGTTCTTTTTAACAGGACTGTTCAACCCAACCCAGTACAGTCAAACTTTTCCATGCCATAGCCAGCAGTGCCACAAACCTGTGCTGCAGACTAGCTCCTGAAACACTAGCGTTTATGGGTAGATGCTGGAAGATTAGAGTCAGTTCCAAGTTCTTGAAGTCCTGTGGCACCCGTAATGGACCTACTCCGTGTGCCTGTTTTATCACTGCCATTGCACTGTAACCCCATTCTGGTTTTCACTCTTATCCCCACTTGTCTGCTTAACAGGCAAAGAGCCATGAGCAAGTGCACCATTATCTGGGTGAGGAGTTTCAATGGTGAAGAGGAAGAGTAGCTCCAGGGGGCTTTGTTGCTGGGCCTCTGTTAGGGTGTTGATCCTTGGCTGGTGCCCAGCTCTGCCTGCCTTGGATGAGGACTCTGCTGAAGATGGAGCCTGATGTTTTCTCCTGGATTTACACTAGTTTGTGTAATCTTGATTGTCTCCAGGCAACTCATAAGGAATCTATGTTTTATGTTTCTTTAAAGGGTAGGAAGCTTTGTCTTGATATTCTAGAGGACCTGATTAAAGCAGCTGCACAAGATAAGGGGCTGTATTGAAAGAGGTGCTTGATCTATGTTTTAAAAAAACATATCAGGCACCTATCAGATAGGACATCATATAAATTAGAGATACTTAGGTCTTAATTCACCAAAATTGTTAATAGTGAGTTCAGGTCTCATTAATCATAGTTTGTCATTATTTCCTGTGGGCTGCGAGTGGGCAAGATATTCTTAATTTAAACAAAAGCAAGAGCCTGTCACATTCAGATGGCTGGAGTACTCTTCAATAGAGATAAAGGGATTGGTACCTTAGTCAAATTGTAAGTGTCAGTGTATTGTTTGGCAACATAGGTAATTCTTGTGTAGATCTAGAAAGCAAGAAGAAGTGATCGTTTTGTGAATCTAAGAAAATGCAAGGATTGGATGCATGGTAAATGTATTGTAAAAGATTTTGGATGGTTCTGCAT